TTTTTTAAGGCTGCTGTCTGTTTTCTTTTGAATAACCGTACTGAGTGCAATATTTTTTGGCGAAATCTTTCTTTATTGATTTACTATTGATGAGCTTTCTTCTAGTTTATAGGTTTTTTGTAATCAGGAGTTCCTGTAACATAGCTTTAACCTATTTCCTTAAGAATATCGTGATTATCTTACATTTATGATTTAAATGCTCCTTGATAAATCGATGTGCAGGGAGAGAACATGGTATGTCTTGCGATGTTCCTCGCTAAGCCTGTGATCACGCCATCTTGGCAAAAGTTCCTTTACTTCAAGGTAGGTTTTGACATAATTATGAACATGGTATGGAAGATTATGAGCATATTGTGTCTTATCACTGGAATTCTAAGGAATAAACGCCATGCGATTGCGTCTTAAATATGTTTTATCATTAGGGTAGGAAAACATGTTATCGTTTACTGACCCGTTTAACAGCACCTCTCATTTTCAGAACTTCTTACCTAATGACATAATTCCTAATTAGTTCGCATTTTTTTATTTGGAGGATGATATTTGTCTCTATCGACAATTGCACACAATAATTTGTCGGCCACGAACGCATTATATCTACTTATGACATGAAATTGATCGATTTATATATTCCCTCTAAGAAGCTGGATAATTATGCTATTTTGGCTTCCTTAGACTGCCATTATTTCACAGCTCCTTACGAAAAATTGATGATAGATTATTCTTTGCAGGTATTTTACTAATTTCCAAATTAATTTTGTTATCCATATATGGTTTTATGCGGAACTATACTTGTCTTTGAGTACCTGACTATTGGTTGTTCCGATTAATTAGATTTTAGCATCAAATCATGAGTGTTTGTGGCATTTTCTATCAGATAAAGACGTATTCTTACGATTTTTTAAATACTGAAAATGTTTATGGCTGAGTTCGAGCCTTCTGCGGACACTCAACGGCATAGAATGTGCTGCTAACCGGACATATTAGTTGAATCGCCTTTCTGTTAGCTTGCTTAGAATCTATCTTTAAGCTTATAAAACAGTCCTTATCCTCTTCTCACTGAATGCATTTCTTTATCTGTTAGTTTTGATTATGTCTCATGTAGTGTGCCAAATAGATATAGCATAACAAACAACCAACTTTTTCACTCCACCACAGCCACTAGCATAGGTAGGCGACATAGATTATATGACTTTTAAGGCAAGCTACGACTCCAAATTCACATTTTTATGTGACTGTTGTTGATACGGCTGTGCTTAAAATGAGTAGGTTTCCAAAATTTCGAAATATATATTATATACGAATTAGATTTATTTTAGGTCGCTTTAAGTGATGGAAGAGCTGATACTTTTTTTACGTGAATTGAAATCTTGGCCTTACTGCGCCACTCATTCTTTAAGGCTTTCTTTAGTTTAAACCGAATTGGACTTCATATATGTTCATGTAGTCTAACCCTTTCTTGAAATATATTGCATATTTTTCAATCTTGAATATTTAAATTCGCGCTGCTGCATCCGACAGCAAGCTTTATGTAGTTACTGTCGGATGTAGAAGTAACGATACGCATTGGAAAACCTGTTACTTAAGATAATTAGTAAAAGCATAGGAAATTAATTACTTATTTTGATGCCTTCATCGGTTTATTCACAGCCCCCAGATAACTAGAAGACTTTAGTTAAATACATTTATTAAGCGTAATATAAGTTGATGAGGTTGTAGGCCTAAGCATGAGCCTTTTGCGAGCAGAATCATTGTCGGTATGCTCTGCTCATTACACATTTTAAGAGGGATTAAGGCTATATTTGCATCCGCAAAGGCATTTAATTAGTATGATTGTCAATCCTTCTAAATAGAATGAGCATAAATAGGGTCAGAGTAGACCATTCACAAAGAAACACGATTTGGCGTGTAATATTTTTGATTATTATTTACACATAAATTAGCCACTTTGATGCTGACATTGCTAAGTACCTCCACGTTCTATCCATATTTTTTGCTTTTTCCTGCTGCACAGGGGACTTACGTCAATTTTGAAATTGTGAGAATGCGGGAGAAGCTATATCCTGTGGACCAATTTGAAGTAAAAGAAGGTGTCGCATGCTTTCAATGGGAGCCAACCGGCAGCAGGTTCGCTTTTCTTCAAACTAGTTCAACAAACAAGTTTTCGATCGCTATTTATGATTGCAATAAGAGTGGAAAAGTTGCTGGTGTAGCCATGCTTGAGCGCGCATCAACCAGAATAAATGAGCTGCGCTGGTCGCCTAAGGGGAATATCTTGGTTGTCGCCACCTTAAAGAGGTAAATATCTCAGAATAATCTTTGAATACATTCAGAGTTATGTTTTTTACTTATACAGCCAGCCAAACATCGGTAATTATATGAAAGAATATTCTGTTAATGCATCATTTCTATTTATCAAGACTCACGACTGATTCACCTGGCACTTGATAGATAATTTACAGGAAATAGCTATAGGTCTATCAGTACTGTTATGTAGCATCATGCAACAAAATCCTAGAAATAGGCCAATCTTTAATTTGAGGAATTAATACAGTGGTTGATTGGTTGTGTGGATTGAAAAAATAGTAAATCTTGTCACGAAAACTGGCTAATTATTGTTATTCGTGGAGGTTTTGCAATTATCGTTTACATTTAAAGGATGCAGCAATTTTGTATATTTACTCTGTTTGACAACACTGGACTTATACTAATGATTTCATATACTTTCTCGAATAATTGCATCTTTCTCTATTTGGTTATT